CCCGGGGGGGGGGGGGGGCTGGGAAAAGGTTTCCCCGCCCCGGGGGGGGCCCCCGGGGGGGGGGGGGGACTTGATCCAGCCCCATGGGGGCTGTGGGGGAAGGGGCATAGGCCAGGCCCAACCTGCTATATAGGACTTGGGTTTGGGGAATTTGGCCACGGAGGATGATGACCATATGTATTGTTAGTGCTCCCTCACCAGCAAATTTTCCCATCTGTGAGGAGCCCTGCAAGCCGGGTACCCATGGCTCTGTGGGCCCCATTTGGCTGGTAGGCCAGAGGTTAGCATCCCTGGTGTAAGGGATGTGGCTTTACTTAGGACTGTTTCATGTAGGTTTTCCTGTCTACTCAGGTGTTTATTTTCAAGTGTCTACTTAAGCTCTGCCTTAAGGTGCAAAGGCTGAGTCGGTGTCTGTAATAGCTGTTCATCCCTAGTGTTTTTGATAATATGTTCACATGCATCATTCCAGTGCACAAGCTTCGAGCTACACTGTTGCTCCCAGCTTGTTTCATGATCACTTGAAGGACATGACAAGGACTGTTGATCCATTCTTCTGAATGAGATGAGCAGATAATAGGTCTGGGTCATGTCATCAGCAAGAAAATGCCCTGGAGTCAGGCTAAGTAGTGAGGCGGTATTTCTGCTGCTGTCTGGAAAATATGCAGATTCCTTTTCTTACAAGTGTTTTTCAGAAAGGAGCTATCTTCATTTGCTTTTCACTTCTCCACTGTGGTGAATTTTTGCACAATACTTAAGAGCACATAGCAAAATAAGGCTTCTACTGGTGTTTATTAGGATGCTCCTAAGCACAGTCAGAGGCGCATATGGGGCAACATGTTCTATCAGAAGCAAGCCTTTCAGAAGGTTGTTATATGACCAAACCCACAGGGTACTTTGGAGCTTCCTGGAGGGGTTTTTGAATATTTAATAAGAGATCACAGAAGTGAAGGAATTAGGCTGGATTTAGAAGGAGGTTATCCAGATAAAAAAAAAAATTATATGAAAAAATGTCCTGCGTAGACTTTAAAAAATTTAAAAGGTGGGGGGGGGGGGGCTTCCAGCTCCAGCTTTGACTAG